ATGTGATCGCAGTCATCACAGCAATATTGATCCTCTGGTTTTGTAGGTTTGGAGCATTGATGACAACATTTAACCATAGCACCTTTTTCTTTTATCCTGGATATAAGACCTGGAAAACATTCTTACTCCTCATCGATTAATAGTAGTAGTAATAGTAATAACATAATAATAATGATGGTAATAATAACAATAATAATAAGAAGAATAATGATAGTGATAATAAAAACAAATAGTAAGTATATTTCTTATTAAAATAATTGATTAATAATAATAATAATAATAATAGTAATAATAATAATGATAATGACAATAATAATATAAATAATAATAACAGTTATAATAATCTAAGGTGAATGTATCTATAGTTGATAAATTAATTATGAATAATGATTAATGCTTTTTTTGGTATTCATTTAATATTTTAATATTGGTTATTTTCTTGTTTCACATATATTTCAAATATGTTTATGAATAAATAGTTGTGCCGTTTAATTGTAAAATATGCCATGCTATACCGGTTTTTTCCGGAGCGAATATCACCATGCTAATGATAATTTACGATTAACATATCCTCTCTATGTTTATTTACCATTTAAATGCCAGTAAACAGATTAATGACGATAAAATCTATCATTTATAGAGATAATAATACATTATATATATATATATATATATATATGTAAAAATCTATATTTACCTTTTATGTTTATTATTTATCATTAGAATTTTTTAATTGATCGATTTATATAATTATCATTTAAATGTCAACAAACGAATTCTTGACAATATAGTGTAATAATAAAATCAATTTGTTAGTTTTACTTGATTTAAAAATAGAAAATACAAATACTTAATTACATGATCTTGAAATTAAAAATAAGAATACTTAATTACCTCATCTAGAAATAGAAGTAATTGCTCTTTACTTGGTAAACATATGCGCAATGATATATTTTTATATTTACCAGGTGCCATATCATTTCCATTACATCTTGCCATATCTTTTTCAAGAATTTGCACCAAATCTTTTAATGGACCACCGATACTTTTGCAAATATCACAATAAACACTGTAAAAATGAAAATGAGTGATAAAAGTATGATTACAAATATAAAACAATAATGATAAGGATAAATTAAAATGATAACAAGTAGTAATTTTATATTATTTGATTTATTGTTTTTCATAATTTTATTTCACTACTAAAAGATTTGAAATCGTTCGTTTGTTCCTTTCTCTAAAGTTTTTAATATTTACAATTTCTCATTGCAAACCTCATTTCCTAATCATTAAGAAAATTGATAATAATTTTTTGAGAAATGAATAAATTCATACTTAATAAATTTAATCTTAAATCTATCAATCAAATATTACTAATCAATATCTAACATTCAAATGTTCATCATATAAATATTCTAAGGAATGTGTTCACGCAATTAAAATAAAAAGCTGAATGATAAATGAAATTACATGAAATGATAATTGGAAATTGATTATCAATAAAACAGTCTGAAATGCTTAAGTACCATAATTTCAGGTAGCATTAATGAATACAGTATGTTTAAGTATTTATAAATGTTTATAAATTTTGTGTGTAATTTTCAACCATTTAAAAGTCTTTATTTCCTTGACTCACAATATGAAATAGTTTCATTTAAGTTTATTGTTTCAAATTACGAATACTTTCAGTGCAATATATAGCATTATATGTCTCCGACTATTTATACTAATTATATAATTAGTAAATTTGCATATTAAATATGTAAAAATTATAAAATTGGAATTTTTTTTTGAATAATTAAACAAACCATGAGCCTATACCACCGCAACCATCTGGATCCGCGTTCACGCATCGTTCTGGTCGACCGTTGATGCCAATTTTCGTCTCCAAATATATATGAAATTTAGAGGTACCACTAAGACCTGGTGGATAAACCTGAAATTATCATATAAACTTTAATACAATGCAATATGATCAATCGTGTAATTTCTAATTTTAGGTTAATTTCTAATTTTAAATACATTTACTTCATAAATTTATATCATAAAAATTAGATTACATAATTATTCGTGCGAACGCAAAAATATCAAATTTTAAATTTGCAATAACAATTTAAAAAAATTAACAAAAGTAATATTAACCAATTCATTTAAATACTTTATGATTTAAAAGAGAAATTAAAGTTTCCAATTTTTACTAAAATTTATTTCGTTCCTTAAATCTTAATTTTGCTATTTCAATTTCCAAATATTACCAACAACACATCTGAATTTGGTAAATTAATTTTTGTGTAGTCATAAATTTTTGCAATTAATAAAATTAATGAATAATTAAAAAAGAAAATCAAAAAAAATGAAACTTCTTCTAAATTCTTTTTTTTTAAAAAAGCCAAACCTCAACTTCTCCACCACTCATTGCGAAACATTTACGACCAGATGAGTTCTTTTCAGGTATAAATTTCACACCACCTGATTTATAACTTGGAAATTTTATTCGTAAATTCTCCTTCTTTGGACCTGAAGAAAAAAATTAAATTTTTTGTCAAATTAATTAATTAAATTTTATAATTTTAAATTTATACATATTTACAGAAATTTTTTGCGCATGGATTTAATTTTATGATCGTGCAAAATAATTATTGTAAAAGAACTGAAAGATTGAATAAAATATTTTTTGGTGAATAAAAAAAGAAAATAAATTCTTAATTTAAAATTTAATTATAAATAAATTTAAGTAAACATTTTTTAATTTCATTTTTATGTGCAAAAAATTTAAATATATAAATTAAAAAATTTGTTATACATTATAACAACTCTCATTAATAATTCTTCGTATAGCATTTTTGAAATAATTTTGATTTACAAAACAAAATTTAAACTAAGAAATGATTTTCTTTCTTTTTATAATAATCGTAATAATTATTATTAAACACTTTATTTAAAAGAATTTAATCAAATTGGAAATAATAAAAATCAAATATTATATTAGGATATAATTAATAATAATTAATTTTCCATAAATTATCGATAATTTAAATTTCGGACAAAAAAAAAACATACTGAAACTATATTTTAAAATAATTCAATCAAATTGGAATTAATAAAAAATCAATTATTATATTAGTATATAATTAATAATAAATAAACGAAGCAAAAATGAATGAACTAAATAAACAATATATATATATATATATACATATATGGTAATTTAAAAAATATTATCCTAATAAAAAGAGTAAAATTATTATCATTCTTAATTTTAACTCTTAAAAAGATTTAAAATTAAATAATAATTGATATCGTGAAATTAAAAAAATATCGATGAGATATAGTTAAATTATAATTATTTAATAATTAAATAATTAAAATTTTATAATTAAATTGAGTTTATAATTAAATTTTATAATTAAATTCAGATAATGAGATGATTAAATTAAAAAAATTTTATATAATTAAATTGAGATAATGAGATGAGATAATTTTATAATTAAATTTATTGGTTTTATAATTAGAAATGGATTTAAATTGCATTTTCTGTTGTACGAAAAATTATCAAGAAAAATGAAAACCGGTTTTTTATCATTTGTTTTAAAATTTTAAAATATATTCAGCTAAATTATAGCAATATCTATCAAAGAATTACGAATGATAATGATTATAATAGCGAATATTAGATAAATGTTAGATATTACAATTAGATCATCGAAGAGCTGACATAAAAGTATTTTAACCGATTTATTTCTTTGTTTAATTAATTTAATTTAATTTCATTCTATAGGAAAAATTTCTCAACGTAATATATTTGTGTAATCTGTCTGTATTGTATATGTGTACAAGAATCTTTTTTAGAACGATCAAATGACAATTAATTTATTATAAATTATCAACTTATATAGTTAACCAATGTGTGTGTGTGTGTGTGTCTGTCTGTCTGTCTGTCTCTCTGTCTCTCTGTGTCTGTGTGTGTAGTAAAATGTTAACATTTTTAAAAAATTTTAATTTTATTTCTTCATTCTCAAAAATTACTGAATGTCTGTTAATTACAATGAAAAATTTAATTATAATAAAACTTTTGCTAATTATAATAAAAAATTGCTAATATAAATTTCAATTATCATTAGCAATTATTATATATGTTCTAATAAAATTGTTAATATAAGTTTCAATTATCATTAGCAGTTAATATATATATATTAATTTAGAATATATATATATATATATATTCAAATAAAATATTATAATAAAAAATTGAAAATAATATAATTTCATCAAATTTCATAGTTAACTATTATTAAATTCTCGTATTTTTATTTTTTATTAATTTCATAAAAAATTAAAAAAATTCAATTAATCATAAATTTAAATTTAAATTATATTAATAGCTATTATTGTATGAATATGTAAACTTGACCCTTCACCTTATTATCGTATTATTTAAAGAATTGTTATTACAAACTAAAAAAATGGATTTCCTCTTGTCTTATTAATATTTATTGAATCAATGTAATAACAATGCCTTATATCAAAATGCCTTCAGACTATTCATCATCGTCCATGTCGATTCGGTACGTGAACATTTTAGTGTTAGGAAAATTGTTAAACTATATTTTATATCCTATGTTATAAATTATATATTTAACATATTTCATCAACGTAAGTCATTGAAATATGGGAAAAAGCAAATTAAAATTATTTGAATTATTTTGAATGTTTCTATATTAATCTTTTAGATTAGGATCAAACTTGAATATTATATATGAGAAGAAATGATTCCATCATTATCATATATGAATAGTTTAAAAATTTTGTCGTATATTTAAATGATTTGAATAAGAGAAGAAATGATTTCATCATTACCATATATAACCGGTTGAAAATCATATATTTAAATGATTTGAATAATCAATATGATAATAATTTAAATTTTATACCATATAATATAACATAATATATCATCTTATCATCTTAACAAGTGTAACCCATTATAATTTTTGTATTAATTTATTTTTGAAATTTCTAAAAATTTAAATTTTAAGTTATATTTCATCCTTTCAGGCTTATTATCAAACATTTGTTAAATATGTTGAAATGAATAATTTTCTTTTAATTAAAAAAAAGAGAAATACCTATATTTGATGGACATGGAAAATGTCGTTCAATTTCAACCGATAAATCATTCCGCTTCGAATTAGCAGCATAAGATATACCTGCAGCAATTAATAACAAAATATACACATTTGGTTGCCATATTGCAACATAATGTGGCGGCGACATTTGATATCACTTAGTTGTCGTTGCTGCAATGAAAAGAATGTGAAGAAAGTAAATAAAACTAATAAATTAAGAGAAGAGAAAATAAGATTAAATCGCTCTTAAAATATTTTGAAATTCTAATTGTTTGCTTAATTATAAAACAATCAAATTAGTGCTTGTTTAAAATACATTGAATGAGAGAAAAACTTTTTTTGAATAAATAAATATAAGCAATGATTATTTATAATAATGATAATAAGAACTTGAATGACAATGATAAATATTTGAGTGATAATAGTAGTATCAAAAGATAATAATGATTATATAACAATGATTGATAATAGAAGTAGTATTAAAAGATAGTAATGATTATATATAATGATGATAGGAACTTGAATGAATGGTAATGACGCAAATAGGAGTATTATCAAAAGATAATAATGATTTTATAATGATGATAAAACTTGATATGACAATAGCAGAAAATACTAATGTTTATATAGGATTGATAAAAATTTTGAATGAGAGCAATGTTATCAAGGAATTATAGTGATAAATGATAATAATAATGATATTAAATAGAATATTAAATATTACAATTTAGATCATCGAAGAGTTGGCATAGAAGCATTTCAAATTTATTTATTCAATCAGATAAATTTAATTTCATCCTATTGAAAAACTTATTTGCAATATATGTGTGTGTGTGTGTAATATGTATGTGTGCTAAAATACCCATGAAATCATCTTATTACCGCCTGCTACCTGCCGCCACCTTTCCTTATCTACTTAAATTTTTATAATTCCTTATTTAACAATTTTAATGAGTATTTCGATTTACCAATAATGATATCTCAATGATATAGATGATATACGACGACAAAAGCGTTAACTATGATAATATTGAAAAGTGATGATACTAAACTTTGATATCATCGTTGTTTAATATACCTGTGTATGTGTTTATATGTCTGTCTGTCTATATAAAGATATCACACCGATACAATGACCGGTTTCTTTCAATTTTCTCTGTTCCTCAATAACAAAAGAAAAAAAGAAATGAAGTGATCCATGCATTTGTGCAAGTATGTGATAGATATTAAAGTTACACTAATCATTAATCAATTCACTAATCATACAAAACGTATTTCAATTACGTATGTGTCATAGAGGCGCAAACTTTTTTTACACAAATTAAAATTGAAAAATAATGAAATGGGAAAAAAAATAATCAATCATCATTATCATATTTATTTATTAATTTAACGGTTATGCTAAATGAATGATAATTAAAGATAATATTTAAATATATAATATTATCTTTGATATCATATCATTGGTGCGATATGATATGATATATAAATATAAGTAAGCATAAATTATATATGCACATTATGTAATATAGAAATACTAAATGAATGATAATTAAAGATAATAATATTTGAATTATATACTATTATTATCGTTGATATCATATCACAGGTACAATATGATATGATATATATAAGTAAGCATAACTTAAATATACACATTATGTGACTAATATGTAATATAAAAATATTTTATAAATATAATACAAAATTATTATCATTTCTCGTAGGATATTATTGTAAAAATTTGTATGAAACAAAATTAATTTTCTATATTAACAGATCATGCATAGCTAATAAATTTGATTAATTATATTATATTGTTATTATCTTATCAGTGAAATATATTATACGAAATATACTATACGAAAATTAGAATATATTATACCAAATTATGTTATCGTCTTATCAATGAAGACATATACTATATCAAATTACACCATATCATTAGTCTTTTTTTACTATTTTTTTTCTCTTTTTTTCTATTCTATCCATTTACAATAAAACTATTTCATTTTTCTCAAAAATTTATCAGTTATATCATATCAGTTATGTCATATTATCAGTTCATATCAGTTATGTCATATTATCAATTGTGCCATATCATATCAATTTATCATAAAACTTATCAAATTTCTCAGTTCATCAGTTTACTCGATGATATCATATCGTACATACATATGATATGATATGATAGAAATGTAATTGTATGATATAATATGATATGATATATATAAATAAGCCTGAAATATTTTTTTTCCTCCAATTTGCACATTTATTTTTGAAATCAAAAAATTTACATTTTAAAAATTAAAATTTTCCTGATATTAAAAAAATTTTCTTCAAAATTCGTCGCAATTTTCAGTCTCTTTTTTTCTTCACCAATATTTTTAAAAACTTTTTTTTATGACACTAATTGCCAGCTTTTAATTCCATTAAAAATTTTTCAACAAAAAATCAAATAAAAGTAAAACTGTCATTTCCTTCGATAAATAATTATATATCAATTTTCCTACAGAAAAAGCAAAAAAAAAGAATTATTTATCCTACAAAAACAAGTTGTCGAATAACAAATAGTCTTATCATATCTTTTAAGAATTTATCGTTGCTTCCTTTTTTTTTAATCTAAAAGAAGAAAAGTGAAAAATTTTTTGCAATTAAATTTCAACAGAACAGGAAGGTAAAAAGCAAACTAATATTGGAATCAATTAATTTTCAATTAAAATTCCAATCATAATCGTAAAATGCTGATCAAAGCTTATAAAAATTTCAATCATAACAATAAAATTCCAATCAAAATTCAGGTTATTTAATTTTAATTTAAGCAAAATTCCGATTAAAATTCAGGTTATTAATTTCAATTTTAGCAAAATCCTGATTGAAATTCAGGTTATTAATTTCAATTTAAGCGAAATTCCGATTAAAATTCAGGTTACTAATCTCAAATTTCACTTTCCATATGGGAAGTCATTCGTCAGGTATGCGTCCATATGGGAAGTAAAATGTCCATATGGGAAGTCATTCGTCAGGTATGCGAGAAATCATATGATATAAAACTTTCCGTCATGCATATGTCTTGATAAAACCAAAGCGATTCGTTTCTTCATACTATATAGGATTTTTAGAAGTATCATTTAGTTAATTTATCAGTGGTATTTATTGCCCATACAGGAAGTCATTGGTCAGGTATGCGAAAAATCATATCATATAAAACTTTCCAGTATTACCCATTGGTCAGGTATGCGAAAAATCATATCATATAAAACTTTCCAGTATGCATATGTCCTGATAAACATTTTTGGTTGATGTATCAGCAGTATTTTGTACTATCTTGCCCCTCATATTTTATGATGCGAAGTTACTTCCGAAAATAAAATATTTCACTTTTCTTCTTTCTCTTCACAACATCGAAAAGAAAAAGAGAGAAATGAATAAGTAAAAAAATTATTTAAAGGAAAAGAAAAAAAATGAATGAAACTTTTTACTTCGAAAACAAAAGAATAATTATTTTTCGGATAACTTTTTTATTTTTCCATTTTTGATATTTGTGAAATTAACAAAATTAAATTTTATTTAATTTTATATGCAAACTTTAAAGATAATATATATTATATGTACAAAAAAAATTTCACAATTTTGAAATCTTTCAACAACAAACTTTCAAGTTTTCATTAATAGGAATGGATCAATTTTGGGATATTAACATTTTAGGATATGAAACATTTTAGGATATAAAACATTTTAGGATATTAGCAATTTTAGGAAATAAAACATTTTACGATATTGCCATTTTAGTTTATGAAATATTTTAGGAACAGTAAAATGTTCTCATCGTTTTCCTTATTAAAAAAAATTTGAAAATTAACTTTCATAATTGTCACGCTTCGTTAAAATGTGAATGAAGTGAAATAAATATATCGTATGAATTTTTTGAAGTAAATAACAGAGCTGCAAATAAAGTATTACAAATATTTTGATGTTAATTATTTTTATAAAGTTTTGAATTTTACCTTTTAATATATTGCACCTTAATATTATTCCCGTAAACGTTAAAATTCTAAAGTAAAAAATGAATCAATTTTTTGGTGAACCAAAATGGAAAGTTGACAGTCATAAAGATTCACTTGAATGGAAAATTCATTTGAAAAAATGCTGTCGATTGATAATTTGAAAATAACACTAGCATTACTTGTACTTATAAGTTTGTATAACTTAATAACGACAATAATTCTCTTCTCTTCGTCCTATAATTTTTTCAATATAATTTAAAAATCGTAGAGGCGTATAATTCGTCGAATATTCAACAGTAATAATTGCAACGTTTCACGACAACAAAAATGTATGAAACAGCCAGTGTTAACATTACTGGAATACTTGAAGGAATTAATTAATGCTTCTCAATAATAACAATTTAAACAATTAAAATTTAAATGATACCTTATCAATCAATTTGAATATTTTTCTTCTGCCTTTTTTTGTTTTTATTTTTTCTAAATTCTCGAAGTTGTACTTTTCTAAAATAAGATTAATGCATTTGTATTTGAATTTAAAATGATCAATTTGTACATAGATGATAATAATGATAATCAGATGATAACAATTCATCACTGAAAAATTATGCCAATCAGATTTCAATTTCAAAATTAAATTCTCATTTTACATTTATGCTAGTTTTCTTAAAATAAATTATCTTATGCATTCTGTATTATCATTTTGAATATTTCGGATTACCTGATGAATAATCCGTATTAATAACTTATTCCATGTTTCTCAAAATACAGAATAAGATAATTATCCTATTCTACATATTATCCATTACATTATCCTAATAAAGATAAGATAAATAATAATAAATATAATAAAAATAATAATAATAAATAATAATAAATATAATAAAGATAAGATTATCCTATTCTACATATTATCCATTACAATATTCATTACAATTTGAATATTTCGGATTACCTAATGAATAATCTGATTATTATTATTCCATGTTTCTCAAAAATAGCTTATCGTATTCTATATATCATTCAATACAATAATTATTGCATTTTGAATATTTCGAATAATCTGATATACTTAAATTACTATATGTATTACTATATAACTTATTACTATACAACTTATTCGATGTATTAAATTTATTAT